ACACTAGATCGCGTGTTTCATTATTTCAAATAAAGATGTTTGAAAGTATGGTGGAAAATTCGGTAGAAGTGCAAACGGAATAAACAATTATATAAAAATAAGTTATACAATACATAATATAAATTATATAATATCAAATATAAATATAAGCTTTGTAACGGGGTGGTTATCTAGCAAAAATGAGATATTTATTTAAGCACAAACTCCCACGATGCAGAGCTAACCGTCGCTCCGTTAAACACGTATAGTTATACGTGTATTCGCCTTTACGTTTGATGATTTCGTTTCAGTGTTTTCTTTCCAACTGAATTGAACTCACCTTACGAGGGTGATCCGATAAGTACTTAGCCTACAAAAGAAAAAAGAAAATTTTGGAAAAGTGGCGTTTTATTTTTCAACATAGTCTCATTTTAGTTCGATACACTTGGCCTAGCGATGCTCCAACTTCTTTAATCCGTCTAAAAAATACGTTTTCTCGAGGTCTGAAAAGTAGGTTTCCGTGGCAGCGATTACCTCCTCATTCGACTCAAAGTTCTGCCCGGCGAGTGACTTTTTCAAGTTTGGAAACAAAAAGAAGTTGCACGGGGCTAAATCTGGAGAATACGGTGGATGGGGCCAGCAGTTCGTAGCCTAATTCGACCAATTTAGCCATGGCGACGGCAGAAGTGTGTGCCGGTGCGTTGTCATGGCGGAGAGCACTTTTTTCTTCGCCAAATGGACCGTTTTTTCTGCAATTCGACGTCGAATCGGCCCAATAATTCGGTATAGTACAGCCCTGTGACCGTTTTGCTCCTCTCTAGGTAGTCGATGTATATCACACCTTGTGAATCCCAGTCACGAAATGACGCAGAAACTCCTTCGGATTGCGCTTAAACAGCGTCAGACATTGCTCTGAAGTTGTCTCACGGTTGCGCTTGTTGTCCGAAGTGAGCAAACGCGGCACCCATCGCGCCGACAGCTTTTTCATGCCCAAAATTTCATGCAGGACATGATCCACGCGGTCTTTTGAGATGCCTACGATCTTAGCTATCTCACGCACCTTCAATCGTCGATCTGCCATACGAGATCGTGAATTTTTGTCACGTTATCCTCCGTGGTAGCCATTTTCGGAGCACCTGAACGTGGCTCTTCAAAAATCGACGTGTGACCATGTTGAAACTCGTTAAACCATTTTTTACGGTCGCCATCGAAGAAGAAGAGTCAGCGTACACAGCATTCAAGCGCTTTTTGATTTCGCTGCGCGATTTCCCTTCCAAAAACAAGAATCGAATCACCGACCGATACTGCTCTCTTTTTCCATTTTTCAAAAATCAACGGACACACTTGTTTTCCACACGCCTCTCAAAAATAAACTACAACTCCGATCCGGCTGAATCTTGACAGTAACCTTCGAGAAGGTTGTACTACGTGACAGAATATTTCTTTTGCGAAAGTGGCGCCATCGGGCGGGTGAGGCTTAAGTACTTATCGGACCACCCTCGTAAGTCACTTGACTTGTGACACTCAATCTATTTTCAGTATGACTGACGCAATACCTAATCCGCCTAATCCCCTAGATGAAATCGGATTAAGACTTAAGCCTTTATAGATCGATTAAGCTAATAGGAAACGAAATGACGTAAACGGCGAATAAAATTAACAAAGTTTAATCAATAAAAAAACTACAGTCTTTTATGGGTCGAAAGACTAACGCACGCGACAGGATTTACAATTATAATTATAATTCGGTAAAGAGAAAGAGAAAGAGTATTCAAAAATTGCCGCGAAATCTAACGCTCGGCGCGAATACAAAAAAATTCGGTCGCGATTGACAAAATACTTTCGAAAGTATTTTGTCGCGCAACAATAAAGGGAAGTGTAACCTATCCTGCGTGCAATTATGGTGATTAGCCGTAATTGTTGAGGCGAAGTTGAAAGATGCTCCTCGGATCGATCAGCTGTGCTGCCTCGTTCTCGAATCTGCTGCTACCTGCTACTACTGCAATGCTGCTGCCGCTGCTAAAATGCTGCTGCTACTGCTTTCTTATAACTCACGCACGTATCAAAAATAGTTCCAGGAAACTTTCAATTTTTTAATGGCGAAACACAGTGCAAAAATTTCGGCGGTACTTTCGCGAAAGCAGCTGAGGCTTAACTGCCTATTTTCAAACTCTCGCGCGCCCTCTCTCTCTCTCTCTCTTAGTCGTTCGGACTAACACGCGAGTAAAAGAATCGCGAACGGATCGATTAATCGAATGGACTACCGTTGCAGCTTATATCATTATATATAATTATAATTATATTAGTAATCTTGATCTTAGGAGTCGTCCCTATAATCAAGATTACTAATATAATTATCAAACATCAGGAGTGGAAAAAATTAACAATAATTTATATATAATTATATACAATATTAAAAATAAAGCATTTTTAACAACAAATGTAATTAATAGTATTTATTCATTAATGAAAAAGAACTGTTCGTATAATCAAATGATTATTATTAAATAGATATCTGATGAATTATATATGTACAATGTATGAATTTGAATGGTCAAACAATTTTTTATATTAAAAGAAAGAATAATTCAAGAATCTTTATCTTAATAACAAAATTAATTAATATAAATAATATTTTACGTCAATTATAGATATTATATTTTTATCAATATATTATTATTAAAATTATTATTTTACATATTTCTTAACAATGCTCCTATTTTCACTGTGTTTTTTAAAATTACATTTGTTATTTAAAATTTTTTTTAAGTTTCTTTATTTATTTCCACGCTTCATTCAGTTCAATATACAGAATCACAGAAAACAGATTAAACTCGAACAAAAAGATATCTTGTTTACTTCATAAATAATTCGTATTACCTTATCAATGTTTTTTTAGCTTATCACCATCTACATAGTATTATTAAGCACAAAAAATTTTTTGTGTTGTGATATCATTGAACATGTAATAATTATGTTCTAAAATATATTCTAATTTTTTAACAGGAAAATAACTAATTTTTACATGAGTGAATATATTTAAAAACAATATATTTGAGCATGGTTCTCACCCCCTGGACATATTTAGGTCCACAAGCTATTCCTGAATACTTACTATTTTATAAGAAATAAACAGGCGTTGATTTTTTTTTTATTTAACATCGCTCTATTTATGCTCCATCAGTGCTAATCAGCGACGGAGGTTTGCAATGTGTTTGAGAACAAAGCACATGAAACTTCAGGCGTTGATTTTATCAAGGAATTCCGATCCAATTGAAATATTAAGAAAATTGGTTTTTGGGGGTGTTAAGCGTAGTTCTCACCCTCTCAATATATTTGAATCACTAATTTCTACTTGAATACTCATTTTTTCATAAGAAAAAAAACAAGCATAGATTTTATCCTAAAGAATCCGAATAAATCTCGAGATGTTAAAAAAAATCTATTTCGAGGGTGAGTTTTAAAGGTGGTTTCCCCCCTAGACATACTTACACATGAGCGTTCGGGTTCCTAAATTTTACCTAAATACTTGTCTTTTTAGAAACAATAAGTCGGCGTTGGATTTCGTAAAAAAATGTTGATTCAACCTTGAGACATTGAATAAAAACGGGTTTAAGGGGTGAACTTTAAGAGTGGTTTTAACCCTTTCAATATGAATTCCCGCAAATAAAAAAAATATGTGTCAAATATTTTTCAAAACTCTACCCCTCTGCCAATTTTCAGAAAAATCTCAAGGGCAAGCATCTTTCCCTTGTGAGTGACAAGAAAGGTAAGGCTGACCAGACTTTCGAGCATCTCTCCAATAGGTTGCAGCTCCTGGAAAGCTATTGGAAGACGTTCGCGGGCAACCACGGCAAGGTCTGCCGAGAGAACGCCGGACTAGCAAAAGACCATCCGTACTTCACTCGTAGTCAATTCTACGAAATCGAGGATGCTTACGTGACTGCCAAGACGGAGCTGACAGCTCGCTTGGCCCGCTTAACCTCTGCGAGAGACGGAGACCGAGGAGCAAGTGCTGCAAGCGCCTCCTTGGTACAGATGTTACCTACACCTCCCTCTCTCCCATCACTAACATTACCTACGTTTAACGGGGACCAACGAAATTGGGAATCCTTCAAGGAACTCTTCAGTTCCATGGTGAAGGACGTTCCTCACATAGCCAATGTACAGAAGCTACAGCGGTTACTATCTTCATTGGAGGGCAGCGCAGCCGCGCGTCTCCGAAACATCCCGCTGGTGGGGACAAATTTCGAGGTGGCCTGGAACATTCTGTTGAAAAGTTACGACAACAACAGAATCAAGCTCGCAGACCACCTGAAGAGACTGCTCTCCATGCCACCCATGGCTACACGCTCCGCTCCAGAGATCACGCGTCTGCTGGACACCGTAGAGGAAGCCACGAGGTCCCTAATCTCTCTTGGCCGAGACGTCGACCACTGGGATGATTGGTTCATCCAATTAGTCGAGCTACGACTGGACAGCCAAAACGTGAAGATTGGGAGAAGTCACTGGAGCATCAGGAGGACTTCCCCTTGTACAAGGATCTCAAATCCTTCCTCGAGCATCGGTCTCGGACGCTGTAAGTTTCCAGTACTATGGAGGTCGAGCATCCCAGCAACCGAGCTTCGTCCAAGAAGCCTCCTCACGTCACTCGAGCCCACTCGACCCAGACGGCTCGGGACCGGCAGTCTGCGCCAGGAAAGGCCACTCTACGATGCGTCCTCTGTCGGGAGCAGCATCGAGTGTCTTGGTGCCCGAAGTTCAAGGATCTCTCCTTTGACCAACGAAAAAGGACTGTTCGTCAGCATAACCTGTGCTACAATTGTTTAGGTCAAGGTCATGGCGCCGCTTCTTGTCCCTCCGTGCATCGCTGCAGGACTCCCGGCTGCGGCGCATCTCACCACACTCTCCTGCATGAGGGTGCGGCTACCCGTGGCACTAGTGACTCTTCCACCGGAGGAGAACCTTCGGCACCGACCGGTGTTGTCTCCCTACACTCGGGTACACGTCACTCGGGAGTCGTGCTACTTGCTACGGCGCAGGTGGCTATTCAGTCATCTTCCGGCAGGATTATCGTCGTGAAAGCGCTCCTGGATCAGGGCTCTGAGACATCCTTCCTCTCTACAAGAGTCGTTCAGGATTTGGAGCTGCCTAAACGACGCTCTTCCACGCTCGTCTTCGGCCTGGGAGCCCAACACGGGATGAGGCCGTCAGGTGAAGTTGACGTATTGCTACGATCGATTACCTCACCTTTCGCTTTACGTTTCAGCGCCCTGGTGTTGCCCAAGCTCACCTCCTTACTACCAAGCAAACCAGTCGTTCGAGCTTCTTGGACCCACTTAGAAGGCTTGACTTTAGCCGATCCGGAGTTCGACAAAATGAGTCGGGTTGACTGCATTTTGGGAGCGGACGTTTATCCCGCTCTCATCCTTGATGGTCTTATAAAAGGTGGTCGCAATGAACCCATCGCTCAGCGGACTACACTAGGTTGGGTCATCAGTGGCTTAACACCGTCACCTGCCGAAGTGCCCCCTAGCCTGGTACACTGCCACACGGTCGACACGGACTGCCATAGCATCGCAAAGGAGCTCCGCAGGTTCTGGGAGCTGGAAGAGATCCCACCAACGAGATTGCTCTCGAGAGAGGACCAAGCCTGCGAAGATCATTTTTCGAGCACTCATGCGAGAGACTCCTCAGGTCGTTATGTCCTGCGGCTTCCCTTCTCTCGCTCCCCGAACTTGCCGAGCACCTTCGCGATAGCCAGAGCCCGCCTTTTGGGCACTGAGCGCCGCCTGGTTCGCAAGCCCAACGAGCAGAAGGCCTACGTTACTTTTATGAAAGAGTACGAGGACCTTCATCACATGGAGCGCATCGAGAAGCCTGACCTTGATAAAGAAAACTACTACTATATACCTCACCACGCGGTCTTCAAAGCCGACGGGAGCGGAAAGATTCGTGTAGTTTTCAACGCTTCACAAGACGCCTCCAACGGTCTCTCCCTCAATGATTGTCTACATGCCGGACCGAAGCTCCAGAGAGATATCTCCGTCATACTGACTCGCTGGAGATACTACCGCTTCGTTTTTTCAGCAGACATCGTCAAGATGTTCAGATAATTCCGCATTCATCGAGAAGATTCTGATTGGCTGAGAATCTTATGGCGATCCAGTCCAGACGGTGCTATTCAGCACTACAGGCTCACCACCGTCACCTACGGAACGGCCTGCGCTCCATTCCAAGCCATACGAGCCTTGCTCCAGTTGGCCTCAGATGAGCGATTGAAGTTCCCAGTGGGAGCATCTATTTTAGAGCGCAACGTCTACGTGGACGACGCCTTGGCCGGAGCTGATACGCTGGAGAACGCCAAGGACGAACGTGATCAGCTGGTCGGCATCCTTCACTCAGCCGGCATGGAACTCGACAAGTGGTCTTCAAATCACCCTGCGTTGCTGACCGGGCTGAGCGACGTGTCTACCCAAGACCTGCCTATCGACGCCCCAGATGTGGTCTCCACCTTGGGACTTCTCTGGTCCCCTAGATCGGATGCCTTCAGATTCCGTGTCAACCACGATGAACTGAAACCCCCAACTACCAAAAGAGCAATTCTCTCCATCGTCGCACGTCTCTTCGACCCTATGGGTTGGCTAGGCCCAGTCCTTATCCGAGCTAAGATACTCATTCAAAAGCTCTGGCTCCAAGGATGCAACTGGGACGATCCATTGGATATTTCTTCACAGGAGGAATGCGATCTGTTCTGCCGGCAGCTCCGCAACGTAGAAGGGATCTCAATTCCACGATTCCTAAGTCGTGCGGCTGAGACACGCTGGTACCTACATGGTTTTGCCGACGCCTCTGAACGAGCATATGGGGCTTGCCTGTATTTCGTCACTCAGGACGACCACGGAGAGTGGAAATCCACTCTCATTACAGCGAAGACAAAGGTAGCGCCCATCAAGTCAATCAGCGTGCCTCGCTTGGAGTTGTGTGCGGCTCTCCTCCTGGCCAAGTTAGTGGCTTCCCTCCGCCCACAATTGCATCCTGAACCAATCCGTACTTTCTGCTGGTCGGACTCAACAGTGGTCTTAGCCTGGATCCGAGACCACCCCTCTCGCTGGCAGACGTTCGTAGCCAACCGGGTTAGCGAGATACACAGCCTCATCCCACAGACGCCTTGGGGTCACGTCAGGACGGAGGAAAACCCCGCGGACGCCTCCTCTCGTGGACTTTGCCCAAGCGAGCTGCGAACCAACCGGCTGTGGTGGCACGGACCCTCGTGGCTACTCAAGGACTGGTCGAGATGGAAAACCGAGGAGTGCGAATTCGTGTCCGCGCTAGAAGAGCGACCACCCCGCCAGGTGCTAGCACATCATGTGCAGCCAGAAGGGGACTTCCCCTTCACTCGCTTCTCCTCCTGGCATCGACTCATCCACACCGTCGCTTACGCCCTGCGGTGGTTGAACCGCCTTCGAAGGGTCCCACCACAATACCCTTATCCTGGATTGGAGGCTCGGGAGATCCACGCAGCAACCAGCTGCGTTTTGCGTCTGGTCCAACGAGAGGCGTACAGCGAGGAATTGCACTGCCTGTCGAAGGGTGCTCCTCTCCCTCGAGCGTCGACGATTCGTCGTTGCTCGCCCTTTCTCCATGAAGACGGAGTCTTGAGGGTGGGCGGTCGCCTCCAAAACACAACCTTGCCGTTCGAGGAAAAACACCCCGCTATCGTCCCACGCAAGAGCCATCTCGCAGCACTCATCTTGCGAGATACGCACCTGAATTCACTTCACGGCGGTCCACAGTTAATGCTTAGCTGTCTGAGACGTCGATTCTGGATCCCTCAGGTGCGCAGCGACGTTCGGCGAGAGGTGCGAAGATGCACCCGATGTGCACGATTCCAGGGTCCTCTGCTGGAGCAACAAATGGCCCCTCTCCCCTCAACCAGAGGAACACCGAGTCGCCCGTTCTCTACCTGCGGACTGGACTATGCAGGTCCATTCCCCATCCGGATGTGTAAAGGTCGCGGTCAACGTGCTACCAAGGGCTACCTGGTCATCTTCGTGTGCTTTGCCACACGTGCGGTCCATTTGGAGGTAGTCTCGGACTTGACCACGCAAACCTTTCTGTCGGCCTGGCGTCGTTTTGTCGGTCGAAGAGGACTGTGTCGCTCGGTTTGGTCGGATAACGGCACGACCCTCCAAGGAGCCGACCAGGAGCTGAGGCGTCTCTTTCATAGCGCCGCTACTTTCAGCAAGGAGATTGCTGAGACTTTGGCAAACGATGGAGTCACCTGGAACTTCATACCTCCGAGAGCGCCGTATTTCGGAGGTTTCTGGGAGGCTGGAGTGCGCTCATTCAAGCACCACCTTAAGCGCGTGGTTGGTGACGCGAAGCTGACCTTCGAGGAGTTCTCGACTCTTGCCGTCCAGATCGAGGCATGCCTGAACTCGCGCCCTCTCAGCCCTCTCAGCAGCGACGTGGAGGATTTGGCCCCCCTCACCCCAGGACACTTCTTGATTGGATCGGCGCTATTAGCTCCTGCAGAGCCAAGCGATACACCCGCCATTCCTCGCGTGGAGCGCTACCGGTTGGCAACCGTGATGCGTAACCATTTTTGGATGCGCTGGCGCAAGGAGGTTCTCCATGAGTACCAGCTGCGCTCCAAATGGTTGTCACCAACAAAACCCCTCAAGGTAGGTGATTTGGTTTTAATCTCCGATATCAACACGCCAGCCACCAGATGGCCATTGGGACGAGTTCTCGAGCTCCACGAAGGGTCGGACGGCTTAGCAAGGGTAGCTACCCTAAAGACCGCCACCACCACACTAAGCCGCCCCTTGGTTAAGCTTATCCGCCTCCCAATAGATGACGGCCCGGAACCAGGACAGCCGCCGCTTGTCAAGGTGGGCGGAAGTCAATCGCTGCCAATAGGGGAAGGTGCCCTACACCCGGAACTCTCTCAAGAGTAGTTTTATTGTTACCTTCGGTATCAAGGTGGGCGGGATGTTCGGGCCGGAATGCAGGTCGCAAGGTCAGTTTTGCTCTAATTTATTTTGGCCTACTGCATAACAGGAGGTCGTGACGTCACTCGGAGAGAATTTGCACCAGTTTCACCTAAGGGTCAACGATTGTCCATAAACTTGTTTTCTGTTTTGCTTCCTGTTTTTTAATGATTTAATAACACTTTTGTTTTCTTCTTTTGTATTCCTATTTTTGCTACTTGTTCCAACTTGCTTGGTTGCGTCAGCAAACAGGCTACTACGTCCTCTGCAGACTTCAAGAGGGCAGCACTTCTCAGCGAGCATATTGGTTTTCGTCAGCGATCGCAGAGGTGGGAGTAATTTTGGTACCCCTTCCATAGATCCATTCACTGGAGTAGGAGACGGCGTCGAGGCGCTCACTGGAGTTGATGCCTGAAAGACGGACGAGCTGACCAACCAGTTCTGTTCCTGATCACCAACGGATCGGTCATCTCTACTTCCGGCTCTCGACACGGCGGTGATAGTGAGTTATCGGTGTGTCTATCACTAGGGTGTGCAGCGCTTGCCTCCTCCTCTCCCCTGAGATCTGGTCGAACAACCAGCGAACGCTCCAGCATCTGCTTCACAACGATTCCTCCGGCAACTGTCCCTGCTCATCTTCGTGACGGCCCTGGCGCCTGATCACCTGATGTGACAGTGATTTGTCTGGTCGCTCGTGTCAGGCAGCGCTGTCGTCCCCAGGTTGGAAGCCTCTCAGTCTGGCGAGGAGATCGGGGTTGGCGTTCGCATCTGGGTGATTCTCACGGGAGAGCCCTTCTATCATCTACGTGCGGTCTCGCGAATTCGGGGAAGTGTTTTTCATTTATTTAATTGTACTCTCTTCATTGTATAAAGTGAAGGTGAATAAATCTGGATATTCTGTACAACGGTGACATCTCTCATATTAGCGACCCTATCACTCCTCGATCAAATCGGCATTTTCTAGCGAGCGTGATTTCTTTAGAAGAAACCGATCGACTAAAAATAACCTCGCGATCATTGGTATAGCTTTGATGTTATGAAGTTCTTTTTCATAATTCAGCAATATTTGACAATATGTCGTATAAATTCCATCGGGAAACTTTATATTTTCGAAGCTATAATCTTTATTAACAATCATTATAATTAATATTAATAAATTCTTGTATTAACTTTTCATATCGTGAATATTCCAGGCGTTGATTTTCAAATGTAATCTTTCTTCTACAAGGAGTACAAACTGTTTTTCTGTTCTTCTTATGATTGCATTTATTAGCACAATTGTTCGGCATGTTTTTGCAGATATATTTCTATTATGCTAGTTTTTATTTACTGTTCTATTAATTACTTCCTGTAATATAATATTGCATTAAATATTCCATTATCAAATAATCATAAAGTAATTTTTTTTTATTTACTCTAGGTTTATATCCAATCTATCAAGGTAAACAATAAATAATTGAGCTTGCTATTACGAAAATTAACAAATAATGAAGTACAATACTCTAATGATTTTTGAATACTCTACTTATTTTTAACTTGCATATATAATTTATAATTTTCTATTTGCATGTTTAAATATTTATATAAATTTTGGTTTTATTGAATATCAATCATATTGTGTTTTTTAGTCTGGTAGTGGATATCTTTGTCTTGAGAAGCTCACCAACAAGCACGTTTGGATGGTTTGCAGTTGGTGCTATATTTTTTGTAAAATGTTTTGATTTCTTCTTTTATTAATGATATCTGTAGATCATTATGGTTGAGTCATTTGGTACAAACCAAGGGGCCGTCACAATATTTCTTAGTACTTTGGATTGAAATCTTTCTAGGAATTATATATTTGAGTTTGAGACGGCACCGCATAGTTGAATACCATAGGCCTAGATTGGTTTGATTATTGCTTTGTAAAGCAGTATTTTATTTTCTATTATGAGCTCTGATTTTTCTCTACTTAGCCATTAAATTTTCATTTACTTCCTTTCCAGTTGTTTGCGTTTTCTAAATATGTGTTCTTTCCATGAGAGCCTCATGTCTAAATGAATACCCAAGTAATTTACATGACTACTTTGCAGAATGAGTTTATCGTTTGGTTTAATAGGTGGTAGGTATCTTTTCTCAAATGTAAAATGTTATATGTATTGATTTACTTTCATTGATTTTAATTCTCCATGCGTTTAGCCAGTTTTGTAGATGATTACTAATATAATTTTGTATTAGTGCAGTTGCTATTTATACTTCTGAGTGAAATGTAAGAATGGCTGTCATTTGTATAAATAGCTGCCATGATATTTGGAAATTTTGGCAAGTCAGCGGTGAATAACAAATACAAAGTTGATCCTAGTACACTATCTCGCGATACTCCTGCTTTTGTGTTCTGCCTTTTTAATGTTTCTTTGTTTAATTTTACTTGAAATTCTCTATTTTAAAGATATAACTTGAGTAGTTTGTAGTGATTTTCTGGAAAAGTCTTTAATTTATGTCAGAAATTGATACTATTCTGTTGACCTATTCTATTGTGGAGTGGTTGTATCTAAAGCCAAATTGATGTTCTAGGATAAGCTTTGTATCAATATTGATAGAATAAATTATTATTGGGTTAATTCTGGCTAAAATTATATTTTTTTAATTTTGTTATATTACGGGCTGAAGATTAATTGTTAAGATGTTATCAGTTCGGTTTCTTTGCCAGATTTAGAAATTAAAATAATCTCAGTCATTTTCCATTGAATTTCGAAAATAACATAAACGAACACGTGAATTAAAGATAATTGTTAAATATCTTATTGCGACACTAGGTCATTTTTTGATCATTATTCTTATAATATTATCAAAGTATAGTGCTTTTTTATTCTTTATATTTTTTAATATACTTCCTTTATTTTAACTGTTGCAATAGGTGTACTGTCTTGGATGCCTATGTCTTCAAGTAAGGCGTCTTCTTTTTGTTCGGTGATTTTACTCTGGTGAGGTTTAAATACCGTACATAAATGGTTTGCGAAATTATGAATTTTTTCCTCATCAAATCTAGCCCGCCTACCATCTAGTTTTCTGATAGGTGGGATAAATGATGTTGGTCGTTTGAGTCTCCTAGTGACTTTCCTGTCTCCTAGTGATATTTTATTGAGTATGCAGAAGTAGGTGAATAAGATCATTGATTAATTTCTTCGCGCTAATCCTTCGCTAACAATTTATTGCGATATAGAATTAGCCGAATAGAATTATCGTGCTTACTTAATTGTGCTGACCTTCCCGCCATTTCGTAAACCGAAAGTGAGCGTTAGGATCAGACAAAGAAAATTCGTAATCTAGGATTCGCGCTGACCTTTCGCTAATGATTTATTGCGACATAGAATCGGCTGAATCAAATTACTGTGTTATTTAATTGTATTGACCTTTCCGCCATTTCGTAAACCGAGAGTGAGCGTTAAGATCAAACAAAAGAAAGTTCGTGATTTAGGATTCGCGCTGACCTTTCGCAAATAATTTATTACGAGAGTAGAATTAGCCGAATAAGATTACCGAACTTATTTAATTGTGCTGACCTTTTCGCCATTTCGTAAACCGAGCGTGAGCGGTAAGATCAGACAAGAAAAATTCGTGATTGTGTCGTTTGCGCTGACCTTTCCACCATCTTTGTTAATCGAAAACCGACCGGAAAATTATTAACATTTCGATTAATTTGTACCCTTGCCATTTTATGGTTATTCAGAGTTTTACCGACCCTATTCACTCCGACCTCTTACTTGTAAATTACTGGATACGTCAATAAAGTGATTAATTATTTTATATAAAATTTACTGTGTTATCCTACCTCGATTGCATGCTAGTGATTTTCAGCCGCGAGCGGTCATATACGGGTATCACCAATTCGCTATATTTCGGGTCCCACGATAGGTAATATACGCGCGAATTCGAACGGACTCACGACTTGAATTAACGAGCCATCATCTGAGCTGCCGGCATACCAATCAAGGAGACGTAGAAAGCGGAGAGTTGGACACCAAGGCCTGAATCGAGGATATCACGCGTATCCCCCGTCTGCCCACCCTGCGCAGTCGCCGTTAAGTAGATCCGGATACGCGACAACCTTAGTGGCCTTAGCCCGACGATCGCCGTAATTAGCCGACGGTCTGGCGCCCTAAATAATCGGGGGTAGAGCCAACCAGGCCTTGTGGCGGAAGAAACTCGGAGCGCGGTTAAAACCCCCGAAATTCCCCGCCACAAGAATTATAAAATAAAAAATTCCATTCGAAGAATAATATTTTATTCAATATAAAGAAATATACTATTTTTGTTGAATTGTATACAAACCACCATTATCATTGAACATTGTGAATATTTCCTCATTAAGTAAGCAATTGGGTTGATAATGCTCTACAGTTTTTAGAAGACTATCTGAGTAACCTGGAGAATAGAGCCTGCAACACAAAAAGTATAATTTGTACTATTACAAAGTGAAATAATGTTAATACGTTATATTACGTGAGAGTAGAGAACTCACATTTTATGTGTATGTATCTGACCAGCGTAAAGAAAAAAAGCCTAAGATAGTTTGATGTAGAAATAGACGTGTTGAGAGGTGCATCTATTATGGAGATTAATGACTTAATTAATGGTTAGAGGATAAAAAAGAAATAAAAAAAAGTTGCTATGCCGAAGATCGTGGGAAAAGACCAGAGTTTGAAACTGTACTCTGGAATAAGGTATCAGCGAAGTAGAGGGTAAAGGAATTTAAAGGTGATCGATCCTTCGAGACAAAATTGGCCTGTCGCTACCATTCACGGCAGCGGGTAAATATGTATGCAGACCACTAAAATGGTATAGTAATGTTGAAGATAATTGAAGACATTTTTAGATAATTCTAATGAGTTATAATCATTTATAAAATTTAGATGAAAATGTTACAAAAATCAATATTTCTGCAATCGTTTAAATTATTAATATTATTTTTCTTAATATTCGTAAAAGTATGAGCTATTAAACTATCGTTCTAAAAATATTTTTCAATAATATTCAAAAAATTATTAGTTTTTATTAAGGCAATATCTCGAAAAGTATATTTAAATACATTATTACTCTCCATTATTATAGATTTAATGAATTCTATTCCAAAGGTTTTTTGAGAGTGACACCTAAAACTCCAACTAAATAATTATATACAGTTAATTATGACAACGTTTCACTGGATTATCTTCCAGCATCACCAGGTCTTTTATTAAATTGTCAACTGATATAAAAGATTGTTTATAACGACTTGAATAAATGATAATATTAAAAATCAATACAATAACAAATTTACATACCAACGCAACATATAGAAATTCAAAATTTATATTATTCATTTCAAATTCAATTTATAATTGAATTTGAAATTTGAAATAATTTAATAATTTCAAATTCAATGACAAGAATTGCCGTAAAACTTTAGAATATTAGCAATGGAATTCTGGTAAGAAAACTCTTACTCAAAAACAGGTAGTCAGAGTGACTCCATACAAGGTCGCCTTATCAGTGATTAGCGGGGAGAATCGGTTTGATGACCGTGCTCAAAATGGTGTCGATGTCTCAAAGCGTTCTAACCGGCTCAACGCAGTCCGATCGTGGAAGCTACAGAGGATGCGGGAAGTTACAAGGCGAGTCAAGACAAGAAAAATATATCAGTTCAAAGAAATTTAACTTTATTGCGTAAGAAAGATGGTCTTCAATTTCCTTTCCAGGTCAGCCCAAGGTCAGCCATTACTTTGTCCGTCGGTTCTATCTCTGCTTACATAAGCCTACTCTTTGCAACCCAAAATCTAATCTGCTATTGGCCTAAATCACTTCATTAACTATTGGTGCAATTTACTCGCATTCTATTCAATAGATCCTGCCGTTAATGGAACACGAATTATCAACGCTATTCGGCGCACCACGACACGATTTCGATCGTTCTCCGCGAAAGGTCCGGTTGGTCGACTAGATAAGGCGATATGCAACGAAAAAGGTTTCACGTACTCCTAAACTCTCGCGGGTCAATTCGGTCGGCGTCGTAAAGATCGTGGGCTCAAGCGGTCATACGGTGTTATCTCCTAGTCGCGCAACGAAAAGAAAGGAAATTCTTTAAAGACTCACCATCGGTCAACCTTCCGAGATTGAGGGGGAGAGAGAGAGAGAAAGACAATTTCTGTCGGCGTCTGTTCGACTTGACAGCACCAAACATCCCTTCTTAGGCTCGTGTATTCACTAGCCGCACTCATCTCTGGAGAAACGTCCCTTTGTTCCTGGCACTCGCGCACAATCACGTCCATCCCCGTTGAAGGCTCCGGCAGAACAGGCCGCGGCTAGTGCGGCTTCGCATCGCGCCTCTCTCGGTTACCTCTCCTTCTTTTCCGTGAATTTTTATCCTATTTGCTCGTAGTGTCATCAACTCGATCATCAGCGCCGTCTATTTTGTTAGTTTATCCCACGTAATTTTACTACTGATCAATTTAGTTAGCATCGGTTTTATCCTATTTGTTATCTTACCCCTATCTCCGTTATCATTGGCTAGTCAGGAATCCGCGCGCCGATCAGTCTAGCGTTACCCATCGTTTGTCGTCTACCCTTTTCTCTCCGTCACTCATCATTCCTACCAGTCGCCCCTATTCGTATATCGACATACCCTCACGCGCCTACTTTATCGGTCGCCTCGCTCGTACTTATGCCCTCTCGCGCTTATTCGTGCCCCTACTCGGTCGACTCATTTGCACACATGCTCCCTCTCCCCCTGCTATCTCTGGCTCATGTTAGTTGCCGATCGCATCACAATATGGCTACCGCTCGGCTCCCACGTCAACGTCGCGTACCGTCGCCGCTCTCAGCGTCTGCCTCTTGGTAATTGGAAGGTCGGTCAGTGTATGTATGTATATGGGTGCGTTGGGCTATCCTTTGGGTATGTTGATTGGGTGGAAAGTAGTATTAATATGCGTGCGGTGCTTCTCCTCGTGAAGTCATCTACTAGGATCAACTAATTTCGGCTGCTAACTTCCTCGTCGTCTAACTTTCTGGGGGAATATCGGTCCGGTTTCCTGAGTGTGAGAGTGTGTGTACGTGAGTGTAAGGATGGTCTGCATCGGTCGGGCGGGTATTGAGAGGTCATAATACGCGAGGTCTCGAAGCCGTAACTAGGCTTATGTAAGCTATTGATCAGCTAATCGGTCAGTTACGTCCTTTTGAGCGAAGAGGATTTCGTAAGTTGGGAGTTGTGTAGAGAATAGCGGGCACGCGATTTTCTTGTGATACCGTACTATCACACTACGTCTAATAAGGATATACGAGGTCTGTTCAAGAAGTATCGCGAATTTTGAATTTCCGCGGACAAAGTAAATTTGATTTTTGATTTTTTTGTAGCGTTATGTTGGTACTTATGTCCCTTACGTATGCTGACAAGGTTGGCCATTTTGAATGTTTAGTTAATTTTTGACAGCTGTTTTGCTTGGAAGTGTTTTGGCTCATCTTCGATTTTTGCCTATTCTAAAAAATGGATGAAAGAATCTCTATCAAATTTTGTGTAAAAAACAAAATAAAGTGCGCGGACGCATTCCGAATGTTGACTGTGGCATATAGTGAAGCTACCTTGGACCAAAGCAACGTTTATCGGTGGTACATTTTGTTCTCAGAGGGCCGAGAAGATGTGAACGACGAATAACGGGCCGGATGCACGAGTACGTCAACAACAGACGAAAACATTGATAAAGTGAAGAAAATAGTATTGTCCAATCGTCGAATCACCGTTAGAGAAGTTTCTGAGGATCTAAACATATCGATTGGCTCATGCCATTCGATTTTAATCAATGATTTGGGTATGAGTCGGGTCGTCGCGAAATTTGTGCCAAAACTGCTCAATTTCGACCAAAAACAGCATCGCATTAACATTGCTCAGGAGATGTTGGACTCGGTCCGTGACGACCCAAATGTGCTCCACAAGATCATAACTGGTGACGAATCATGAGTTTATGGTTATGATGTGGAAACCAAAGTTCAATCATTACAATGGAAGCTACCGCATGAGCCAAGACCGAAAAAAGCTTGTCAAGTTCGGTCGAACGTGAAGGTTTTGCTCACAGTTTTCTTCGATTACAGGAGCGTGGTGTATCATGAGTTCTTGCCACAGGATAGTAAGGTCAATAAGGAATATTACCTGCAAGTTATGTGCAATTTGAGCGAAGTGATCCGCCAGAAACGTCCGGATTTAAGGAAGAATAAAAACTGACTTTTGCACCATGATAACGCCCCTGCTCACAGATCGTTGCTTGTGCGCGAATATTTGGCCAAAAACAACACAATAATGGTGCCGCAGCCACCGTGTTCCCCAGATCTGGCCCCCTGTGACTTTTTCCTGTTCCCAAAACTGAAGAGGCCTATGAAAGGACGACGCTACGCCATAATTGAGGAGATAAAGATGGCATCGAAAGAGGAGCTGAACAAGATCGCAAAAAATGATTTTTTTAAGTGCTTCGAGGATTAGAAAAAACGTTGATATAAGTACATTATATCCGAAGGAGATTACTTTGAAGGAGATAAAATAGATATTCATGAATAAATAAATAATTTTTGAAAAAATACAAAATTCGCGATACTTTTTGAACAGATCTCGTAGATGTTATGTTGAATAATCTTACACTAGTAATTATCCTGTGATGACTATTGTTGGATTAGTTAGTGTCTAGAATAGTAACGATGAAAATATCATGTTATAATCTGCAATCGAAAAAGATATATTATATGATACTTTTGTTTAATTCTTAATTATTTCCTTTTTATTTTTATATTTTATGTTTTATTTTTTTGGTTGATTTGTTCATGTGTGAAATTCGGAGCTTATTTGAATAAACTATTATTGTACTTTTCTTCGTCTCTATATTTATATTATATTTCGGCAGAATACTAATTATCTTATAGGATCTGATTTTAAAAAATCAAATCACCTAAACTAAATTATTTTAGATTTATACATCTATCATTATATTCTTTTAAGCATACTTTAGAATTAACTAAATTATCATAAGCTAATTTCTGTATAATGCATAAATGTGTTACCAGGTCAACTGTCTCTTATGTCTAAGTAACATATCACCTTCGCGATGGAGAATATTAAAGGACATTCGAACGAAACAAACAAATACGTACAACGTAATGTGGTGTATACATGGTCCTTTCTTGTACGTACGAATCATGATTCAAGATAGTTATATCACCCTAAACATTGTTAACATAGGTATATTATTTCAAGTATTCAGACAATACGTAGTGAGATCTTCCAAGGGAACCATTGATTTGTAACATGAACGCCATGGTCTTTAACTTTTTTATTTTAAATCATTTAAAAACACGTGACATAAAGGAACTATACGAGGGTGGTCCGATAAGTACTTAGCCTCACCGCCCGATGGCGCCACTC